ACTAGAATTTGTTTTTTTGGTATTCAAGAATTGGTTTGAAAATCGGATTTGTTTTTTGGTATTCAAGAGATTTTCGTTTATTTTGATAATTTTGATTATTTTCGGCCACACAGCTGTTTGATCACGATAATCCTCTTCTATTTCGTTCCTTCTCGAAACTTTAAACGCGTTTTTCCATACGACACCCACGATTTCTCAACTTCTACTGAACCGATTTACTTGAAATTCCTACAGAGTGTGATCAGATACACCTCTTCAGTATGAACTACAGTCATCGCAAAATACCAATTTTTACTATTTTTAAATAATACGAGAACATAAGAAAAGTTGCATTTTTTCGCTCTTTATAAAAATACACTATTTCTTAATTTGTCCGTAGTTCATACGATTGCGACATTATTCTATTCTTATATTAAAATATAACCGATTTCATCACGTTTTAGAATTAAATTTTTGTAACTATCTTTAATAATTTTTTTTTCAAATTCTAAAGACATTACTTAAAAACTTGTAAAAAAAATATAGTCAACATACTGTTTTCATGACCAGAGTTTTCATGTTTTTGGATAATAAAATTGAATTTTATATGAAGATGAGATAAAAAATATAAATTGATTTTATTAAAGTGTTCATATTGAAAACCTGAAGAAGTGTTTTCCAACAATAGAATTTTCAAGCAGAGTTTTCTGTAGAATACTATAGAATACTAAAACTGATGTGGTGATAGAAACTTGAATGTTTGTATAAACATTACGTAAAAGATTACATAATCATAAATTACAATATCTAGTTATTAGGGATATTCATAAGTCGAGTGGAAGAATCTATTGGGCTATTGAACAAAAGCCTCCGTGTTCTCAGAGTACCTATCGTGTTATAGGAGGGTTGACTGTATATTTGAAAAAAAAATCGGGCTATTTAAAATAATAAATACAGTAAAATAATTTAACAAAGTCGTGGACAGTAAAAGTTTCAGCAAGGTACAAATATTAACAGTCATTTTATTTCTGAATTGGTTGCGATATTCGAAATTTGATTAAAAACCGTTTATAAGGGTAGTCATACTATCATATTCTAAACATATTTAAAATGAATGCTATAGCACCCACATCAAGTAACATGCTTGTATTTTATGCAATGTGCTTGGCCAAGCAATTAAAAATGACTACACACGGACACTTTACTACCTCGAAGAACCAGATATAATTTATTATAAGAATGGCTATATCAGACATTTAAAAATAAGTAAGTTAAATAAGTTGGTTTAGTTGTTAATAGTATTTATTTGTTTGATGTTCACGGTTCAAGTTACGCGTACAGAATAAAGATGAATTTCTTAAAAACTATCTTAGTACCTAGAGTAGGGTAGGAAATTATTTTATTATAGGGCAGAGAGAATTTAGTATATAGGTAGAGGGAGATGGCTTAATAAAATTTGTGAGGCTCGAACAGCTATAGCATTCACGTCCAATATAGAATAAAAAAATAATCTAGCTATTTAAGGTAAGCTAATGGTAGTAACCTTGAACATTGATATACAAGTTCGAGAAGTAAAAATTAACTAGGCAAGTAAAAAACTTCAAGAACGAACTAAGCATCAATAGTTCCTTAACTTTCGTCTCTAAAACAAAATTTCAAACTTCAACACTTTGTCGTCCATCCTCATCCTCATGAATCACCACCCGGCGTTCCAGCAGGTATAACGGTTGCTGGAAGAGACTCCGGGTCTCTGCTATATATTTCTTCCTAAGTCTTCCGAATCTACTCCGACCATATTTCTTGTTTATCAGCGAAGAAGCCGCCTCGGGCTTTGTTCAATGTCATAGTTTATCAATGAAATCAACAACGCGCGCAAAATGCATAGAAATGCCAATAACGCGGGTACCGTTAATAATATTATATCGACGGCTTTTGATCATTATTGAACTAATATTTTCAAATCATAGACGACCACGTCAATGGTAAGAAATTATATCTGATGAATTGGCAAGAACTGCCAACGATTTTAGGATACCTTGGCACTTTGAGACCCTCTGAATATTTTGTCATTCTACAACAAATGTATCATATGTATGTAGGAACCAATTTTGATGGTTCCCGAAACATCAACTTTGTATCAACTACATTGCATGCCTTATTTAATTTAAGTTTACCCCTTTCTGTCAACTTCTTCCAACTTCATTTTCCAAAAATCACATCAACAAACTCCTCCTCCTCCGTCTAATTTCCATTTTATCCGATTCGATATTTTGCGTGTAAAATCTTACTTTGTAAAACGGTTCATAAGCTCAAACGGACCGCAATTTGTTGCCCCAGGCCAGGGGTCGCCAACTCTGGGGTCAATTTAAGCACGATGTATAAACGATACTGACCGTGACGTGCGATACCAGAGTAAATCGATCGATAAAGTAAAAGATTGTTAAATAGTAAAATGTTATTCGAGGAAACCATGGGAGGAAGTATTATCGATGGGAGAGATCTTTTGTAAAATGATTGATAAACGATTATTAGCAAGGTGGGAAAGAATCTGTAATAATATAAAATTCTTCTGCACAGGTGTAAGATTTGATACTTCTCCTAAATGGTTGTTCGGATTTTGATAATTCTTTTTAGAGTTTGTCAAAGGAAATTGTTAAAATTTAATAAACGATGAAACTATAGTCATATTGTAGAAATAAATGGCAAAAATTATAAAAAAACTCCTATCATTGTTTGACATTGAAAATATTTGAACTGCCATCTGCTAGAAATGTCAATTCACTTGAAATTTGAATACAGCTGAAATTATGAGCCTAGATAATATCAGAATACAATATACAAGAAAAACGTAATGTCTACATCATTATTTTTGAAAAGCAGCTGAGATGTGCCAGAAATTAAAATAATATAAGATACGGTATATATTTAGCAGATGTAATTATATAATTCAGTTCAATAAATAACGCAATAAGTCCAAAATAGCTCATGCATTATTCTTTTAAACTTATGCATGTCGCATTTTGATTTAATTTACTGAATTATTTAACAATATAAAAAATATTTCTACCTATTAAAAAATGATTTTTTAGAATTTTGTTGGATGTGTCAAAAATTCATTCGTTTGGTATTGCATATGGAATATTTAGCAAGTTCATGATTTTAGATTGAACAGTGCCATATGAACTAGATTTAGGCAAATTAATTCACCTAAGATTTGAACATGAACAATAATGTTTATTAAATCATTAGCAAGAAAATGTGCTTTATAAATTATAATTGCCAAAAAGCAACTAATATATCGTACGAGATTATGAAAATTATAGACTAAATTATTGAAGTAATTATGTTGTGTGGTAAAATCAAGTGTGATGTTGTTCTTTTACCGCAGATACTATATTCTTTTCTCTGAATTTCTTATACTACTTATGCTAAGACCATAACTGAATCACAAAGGCAGGACATCAAATAGGATATTTGAAAATATAGGGTAGGATATTAATTAAATTTGGAGCTTTTGAATTGTAGACGTGAGTACAGGACAACGTCTGTCGGGTCATCTAAAATATATACATCTTTAATATATAAATTCTTAAATAGTACTCATTAGTTTCCAAAATCCATCAAAATATACCTCGCCTAAAAAGTCTAATATTGAACCTCAAAAACTGTGTCAGTTATTTCACAGTTAAGTCCAAGACTAAGTGTATTGGATAGTCGCGATAAAAATCTTTATCAAATAACTGTAAGTCTCCAAGAACATTTTTCTACAATCATCGGATTGTGATTGAGTAAGTCCTACACACATGTGTCTGAGAAGACAAAAGTTCCACGAACACGTTTGCTGCCATAATAAAAAATGTAGGTAATGATATCGAGAAATGATATATGACGTTAGGAAATATCAATGAACCAAAAAAGGAATTTGGGAGATACAATTTACAAGAAGACATGATTACTATTATCATGATCTAGATGCAAAACCAAAGAGGCAGTATTTTTGATAGTAAATATTTCAACAATTTTCTAGTTTACATTGTTTTGACCATAAAAATTGATGTCTTCATCGGCAGCCAACGTGTCAATCCGAGGCAAAATAAAACTGACCAACAGGAATGCCTTGAAACCTGCTGTGCATCCACAGAACCTTTCCGCTATACGAAGATTGTTATCTCAAACTAATCATTTACATTGTATAAAATCGTAGTCTATATGCCTCTATTAGTGGGGTAAAATATCGCTTTCGAAGTGATAATCGATTATTAAAAAAATATATTTTAAAACATACTTCTAGTCTGTTTGGTGACCCATAAATTGTGCGTATGTGCCTTGTGGTCCAATATGGGGCAATATCAACAAAATATTAGAAATTAAATGGTAAATCCATCAAAATTTACAAATTTGCATTATATATTAATATGATGATCTGAATATTATAGTTAAACTTTAATAATTGAAATAAGAGTAAATTATTGCAATTGAAAGGTTATGAAATTTATCAACACCAATTGCAAAAGCTGCAAAAATCTTATAACAGTTATTGTCTACTAGATAATTTTCAATCTTGCTCATAAACTTTTTCTTAGATTTTTGCAATGATTATGAAATTTCTGTTTTATTTTCGATTTAAAAACAATTTTTATGTACCTCTAACATAACTTGTCATCGACACATCGACTTAAATGGAATTTTCATTGATACATCTTCCATATTGTATACATAGGTAGTCGTTGAGATTTTACTACTTATTACCATAAAAACCGTTATATTCGTGTAAATATTACTAATTAAAATATGTAATTAATTTGATGACAATTACTAATTAAAATTATATCCTTACCAGTAAAAATTCCAAACGGTTGATGCACGAACCATGAATTTATAATTATTGCTTAATCAGAACCAGGAATAAATATAAAAATTGTAAATATTAAAATGTTAAATTTGTGTAAATACGTATTATTAAGCACAATTAAATCTAATATTATTTGTTACAATAATAAATTAAACGTAAATTTACATACCTTTATTTTGAGCAAATTTTAGATTCCAGATCATTTGTTTGCATCTGGAAAAAAGAACAAAATATGTAAAAAATATATTTATATATAGAACTTCAAATTTTATTAAATATTTATATGTATAATATAAAAAATACAGTCTAGAGAAATTAAAATATAAATATTAAGTTGCTATTATTAAGGATAGCCATAATTACTAAATAAATGTAAGAAAATTACTAAATATAAAATTTTGAAAATTTGGCTGTTTCAGAAAGTTATAATATATTTTTATTTTTTGAATAAACTTACAACTTTTACTAAAAATTCATTTCCACAATGTAAATTTTGGAAGTAAATTACAAAATTATTCACATTCTGATATGTATAATGTTAAAAATAAAGCAAAAAAAAACAAGTCTTCTTAAAATCTGTCTAAATTCGAATGTTTCCATAAGAATGCCATTATAATGCTAAAGACAATTTTTTGTTATCGAATTGAAGTATTAAATAATATTGTTAGTACATATAATATATAAATTATCAATTTACTACAGTTGAGAACCTCTATTTTAACCATTAATAAATTCTTTCGTTAATTGAGACAACGGTTGTTCTTTAACAATATATGCAAAGTTCCTTAATTAAATTATTCTTACAAAACAAGTAATTTATCGTCAAATTCAATATATAATTAACAATTAAAACCCAATTATCAATTCTTAGTGGTTTCTTTGAACTTGGGATTAACTAAGAAACTGTACATCGCTACCAAAAACGCATTTAAAATCAATTCTATGGTAATAACCTCTTGAAAAGTCTCTAATTAATTAATCGGTGGTAAGAAACGACAAGATTTGAAATATTATCTATAAATTGATATATGATCTCAACTTATGAATTGATTTATATAAATGGTTCAGTAATAGAGAAAATGTTATAGACAACATCAGTTTAAAGCTATTTTTCATATAAAATTTAATGCAACTTTTAATAATCAGTTTATCATTTTTTTTATCAATCAGTAAATATAAATCCTTACATACATACATACTACCGATAACACCTTTTTCTAAGATATTGCAAAAAAATTCTTGAAAATGTCTTGAAACGTGAAACACAAAAAATTGTTTCTAGCGATTTCATTAACTCATTCCGCAAGAAGTTAATAATGTTTATATTACTGAAGATTGTATATAATTTTCAATTAAACAGATTCATGACATAAATTATACATGATTATAATTAAATTATCGTGTCTTATGATGGATATATGGAAATCGCTTTTTCTAATATAATATTCTTGATGGTAATTACATCTTTGCAGACAGCCTTCGCATTTGGATTGATAGGCTATTAAGTAAAACGTGCAAATATCTTGATGTAAGGATCTCTTATTAAAATTAATAAGGATCTTATTAGACAAATATTGACTTGTTGAACCACAAGAAAAACATTTGATGAATTTAAAATGAAATTTTTGAGTATGAAGTTATGTTTGAGGTCGACTTCGACATATTTCACGAAGAACAAAAATGTGAGGCCAACTCTTTGATAAAATCGATCAATAAAATACATAGCAATTTAATAGTTTTTACTACTAATTTATATGAAGAAAAGAGCGTAACATAGGTCTATTTTATGGGAGAATTAGCCCCTGATTCTGTAAATCAATACTTTTAAATACTCTTTTTAATTCACAGGACACAATGTATGGTTGTGTTTTTTTATTACAGTAAACAATTTCCTGAAACTTTTAATTATTAAATCTCGATTTATTTATTTTTATCTAAAATGGCCAGCATTGCATTATTAATTTACACGAGATGATTTCACAGGAAAACTATTATAATCGTTAATGATTCAGTCATTTCACTTTTGTGAAATCAAATGCTTCGAAATCGGCACATGGGCGTGGCTGAAGTGTTGTGGGTATCGAAATTAATTGATTTTTTTCTAGAACTTAATTACAAAGCTAAATTTGGCGCTTTGGAATATTAAAAGTTATGTAATTGTGATTATCTGTTTATTCATATGTATGCATATATATATATATATATATATATATATATATATATATATATATATATATTTATATATATATATATATGTGTGGTAATTTCATAATTTTATATATTTTTATAAAGGAAACGTCTTATTTTTTTATTTCTTGTTTCATGACAGGTGGAAGCCAAAAATCGTTAAATTTAGTTCCGCATAAAACACAAAAACTGAATAAAAACAAAATTAAAAAATCGCTTTTATTATTTTCATAAAATTGCGGTTAAAAGATTCAGTTTATGCTTCAGATATTGCTACATTTTTGCAAATAGTGCCTCAATACAAATTGTTAAAACATAAAGCTAACTTATTTAACTTTTATTTAGTTTATTTCAATGAATATTTTTAAATTCTAAAGCTATTGGAAAAATTATATTAAGTTTCTTCATGAATATTATAAGCTATGAAAAAGATGTTATCATCAACATAGTATCTGATATATTTACTTCCAAAGAAACTAGACAAGACATAAAATTTGTATTTGTTTAAAAATTACAATTTCAAAAAAAATTACGAGTAAGAAGAAACATAAAATAAAATAAAAAATAAGATAAAAATAAGAATAAAGAAAAATAAGAAAGATAGGAGTTTAAAAGAGTTAGAAGAAGAAGCATGGTTAAAAGAGAGAGAAGTAGAATTAGAATTATTGATTTAAGATAGATTAGAAAAAGAAGTTAGAAGAAGCAAGGTTAGAAGAAAAAATAAGAAAGAAGAAGTAAATTATAAAGAAAATTGGATAGTATGAGATGCATAAAGATTGCATATAATATAATAAAGATACTGAACAAAGCCAATTTAAAAAAAAGAGTGCGCGTAAGATTTACACGCGGTTGAAGTAAAACTTATTTGCTACTGTACAAAATGGCATTTAAGTAAAAATAAATACATACAATAACAATTTTCAATAATGTTTATTAGTAATATGGTAACACTCGTGATGCACACATTTATTAGTGTCAACCATTATACTCATTTTTATAATGATAAATTATAAATTATATATTTATAATAGCATTAAAAATATGTATAATATTCAAAAACAATAATGTAATTAAAGTCATACTTCAAATATGACATGATCGGTTTGTTATTGTAATTAGCATTTAGAAATAAACCTTCATTAGAGAAATGAAGTAATTGCTGATTAATAAAATCTATAATATTTGTTCATACAGTGGATTATGTTAAACAACGCCTAAACAAATGTTGTTTTCGTAACTTCACTCATCATGTAATTGTGTTTGAAGAACTTCATGTAATTAAAATTAACATACATTCATTGACTGCTTGTATTTTTTTTACTTTTTAGCTGGCGATATAATCTCATTCATTGACCAGCTGTAATATCTATCTTGCCTAAAAATATTTTTCATTTTAATAAATTCAAAGATTTACAGAAACTACGAATAATATAGCAATAATTTCTACATTCATTCATTCTAACATTTGTTTTATTATGTCAGAACTTAAATAAAAAACTCTGCTCAAGTTCCTATTAGATTTTTTAGAGATTTCAAAAAAGTATTGTTAAAACAAATAAAGAACATGAAGAAATCTCCATATTTCTATCCACAAACTACATCTGTCTATTTTATGTCAATCATGAAATAATCGTGATCCGCCAGTAACCTACTCCAAAAATATGCTAACCCATATTCATCGTTACAGATTTATACACCAAATAATCTGATACCGAAAACTATTATTATCAATAACGCCAATGCTGAATATCAATATCAATATATATATATATATATATATATATATATATATATATATATATATCCGATTCCATAACCAATTTTGTTCGTCGTGATGTATATGACCTTAACTTTTCTCGTGAAATGGGTCTAGATCAATTATATCTAACACGTATAAATATTATATATATATATATATATATATATATATATATATATATAACCAAAAAGTAAAAAATAATGGCAAAAAATTATTCTATTTATTATATAATAAATATATAATAATATAATAGTTCTATAATTTCTGCACCATTAAGCCGACGCCTTATGAAGTTTAAATAAATCATTATATTTATATTTAATTGAGATATTAAACAATTTATAAATTTTATAAACTTTAAATTGCATTACCTTAATGATGTTTAAGATGTATAAATCATAATCCGAACTATGTCATTTTCATTAATAACAAAACACAATGTACAAATTATCATTTATCATTACTAATGGCGACACATTATGTTCAATTTAAATATCGTTAAGGACGACTAATGAAAGATACTGAAGAAGGATCATCAATAATTCGAAACGTACCCTATTGATGATGAGATAGATTTAAAAAAAAGTTTAATGGATTGAACGATCAATCAAATAGTACTCGTGATAGCAATGTAGAAAATGAATATATTCTTATTTGCAAATTTTGAATAGATTTTATTGTATCATTCTTCCTCTTATTACCACACAAATTGTTTTATCGGAATCTTCTCATAATTCTGACACCATAAATAAACGCCAACGCAAAATACTCCCACTTCCCAAAAATCCAATAAACTTCGGGAACTTAACCATGAACCTGAAACGAAGTGGATTTTTAAATTTTATGACTTACAAAAAATCGTTAAAGCAGCCATTAAATTTTGCATAAATCATTTCTGCAAACAAAAAATAATATTTTTGCACTTGGATAAAAAATGTATTGGTTTTCGAAACTGATTTGTTCAAAATTGCTGAAGTGGTAATATTATTTTGGAATGTGTATGCAATGAAATAGGAGCTTGTAGAAATTCTATATATTTATACATATAATAGATAGTATTGCCAAGAGCATGATCTGAGTTAACTCCAACTCGATGCAGAGGAAGAATAGTGTGAAAGATTCCCATTGCCAATTCACACCGCAAGGCCCAAAAGAGGCTTTTTTTAATTGTAACATATGTTTGATCCATATTTTCAA